AAAAGAAATATATTACAGATATCTCAGTTTTCTCAGATTTGTCATTTTTGGGATCACCATTGCATAGATTCATGTGATCATGCAATTTCTCTTTCACATTAAATATATTATAAGAAATTAGTTCATTATAATATTTGAATATTTATTATATATAATCTTTATTATTTCACACACTCTTTCCCAAACGCATACAGTTACCATAAAAGAAAACACAAAAGTGAAAGGAAAATAAGTGCAAACAGAAGTCTCAGAAGCTCCAAGCTGACCATCAGGCCCAACTACAATCTAGGAGACATGTCCAAGGAGAGAAACAACACAAAAAGCAAAGAAACTATATCATACTTGATTCAAAAACCCAGCAAAAAACAAGGAAAAACTGAAATGGAGACAACATTCCAAATCTCGACATCACCATCCAAGGTTGCAGCCTAGCAGAAACAAGCAACAGTAATAATACAACATGACAAAATAAGTCATGGAAATACATGGAGCCAAATAATGGAAGAAGAGATGGGAGAAACATCCACTAGCATACAGACCCACCCTGAAGAGGAAACATATGGAGAGTTACAACAGACTAGCGAACAGCAAGTCTTGGAGAGACATCAAACACTATTTTTTGGGGAACATGTCTGCATTGATGATAGCGATGAAGACATGTATGCATCAGACCCAGAAAACCCTGATCACCAGCAACATGAAAATGAATGGCAAACAGTCAACAAAGGAAAGAAAAAGGCAGAAAGAACAAGAATAAGTCTAGACTCCGCTTCCCGTTCGATCACACAGCAAGGTATGGCAGACAAAGAAGCAAGATTGGAATCCCAGCAGTAAAAGTTCCTGGTATCACATTCTGACAGAAAATACAATATATTATTAAAGCCCTAAAAGCACCTGAAGGCCTTCTTGCAATTTGCAAAGAGGAAAAAAAGATAAAGAGTCGATTATAGCCATTTTTGGAGATCAGCAAGCTGCAGAAAGGGCAAGCACAATCAAGTTACCAGGTTTGAAAAACAAGTACATGGAACTCATGCCAGCACCAATCCCTATACAAATAAGGAAAACAGTATCAGAGTATGGGATATTCCTCAGGATGCCAAACTTATAAATATACAACAAACCTTCACTAGATTTGGACAGATTACTAACATTAGTATAAGCACTCAATACATGTGGCAAATAGCTATAGTCATGTTTCAAGAAAGAGCACTAAGGAAAAACTAGTTAACATGTAGAGTACCTCCTTCAAAGCAGACTCAGTCAGAATATTCAATGAACAATGGAACCTTATGGAAATGAAAGTCAGGGGTGATATCACTACCAAATTAGTCAATCTTCCCAAACACAACAGCATTTGACTTGTGTATTATCTGCCAACAAATTAAAGCCAAAACCTGTTACATTTCTAGAATAGGAAGTTACCACCATAAAAAAGTAGCAATTATTAGCTTCGAAAGCCAACAATACTTAAAGGAAGTAATGGCACAAGACTTTGTTCTGGATGAAACACAAATTACGTGGGCCCAAATTGACACAAAGACCTGTGCCATATGTGATACGCATATACACTTAACAGTTGACTGTCCAAGCAAACAAAGACAACAACAGTGGAAAGAATATAACAAAGAACAAGCAAACAAGTTTGGTAAGTTATATCAGAAATTCAAACCAGCGAAACAACAAACATTAGAAGAACTATAGATACAATTACAAAAGAAAAAAGAAACAGCAAGCCTGAATCATATGCAGCAGCTTTTAAAAAATCAGAAGAATATAGGATACAAAATGCATAAGATCCAAGCAACTTGCAACAGGTTGTAGATATTCTCAAACAACTTCAGCAAGACATCAAAGAAATCAAAGAACAACTAACAGAGATGGATGAAAGAATTACAAACCTCGAATACTATAATGAAGATGGAGTGGGTGCTATGGAAGAAACAGAAGACACCCCAGATCAAAGTACAGATGATGGCTCCACAGAAGAAGTATAAAAAAATCAGACAGACAACAGAAATAAAATCCAAGACCTCCAAGCCTAACAGAAACAGATTCATGTAACTATCCAACATACTAATCAAACTATGAACAATCTCATAAACACTATTCACAATCTCATCCCAGGAGACACAAACACCATAACCAATATTAATTAATGGGAAACAATCTAAGCACCAGTGTAGAGGCATATGAGATCACTGACAACTTGTCAAATTTTTATAATTTGATAAACAATTACCCAAATGAAGATATATAACCACCTGAGGAGGTACAAGAATACAACATACAGAGGGAGGACAAAAGTTTCCGAACGGTTTTTTAAATTCCAATTTACTTGTATTTCTGTGATTAAATATATGCTAAATAATATTCACATGCAGACTACTATATTGGAGGAATATAATTATATAATTATACATTAATCGATATAAAGTGAGTAAAATTATTAAATTATGTTACTTTGTATCATATCAAAATACAATCTACACTACGATCAATGCTATATAAAGAAAAAAATTTGTTGCAATTTTTTTTTTTATTAAAAACTAATATTTAGTAATTTCACCTTTTGCTACAATTACTGCTTGAATATGTCTCGGCATACTATCAACTAAATTTTTAATCATACTTTGAGGAATCACTTTCCATGCTTTTTTAATACACTTATCA